CATTCCTGCAGCAATGCATGTCGTCACACACCCTCAACACGCTATCAGTGTGCATGTGTGCGCATCCGTGTTATCTCCTCACAGCTGTCACAGTCAACAGGGCCTTGGCCCGCATGGAGACCCACACCTTCGCAGGCTTAAGTTTCTTCTATCTATGACACGGGATCTGGAAGAGGAAGTCAGGGAGGAGATAGCGCAGCATAAGGAAATTAAATATGGAAAACGATACGAGGCGCGATGTGGAAGATTAGAATAAGATCGACCACAATCAAACAAATGACATCATAAAAAATAAGCCGCCTCGAGTTACTAAAAGCAACTGCGTTTCCTGAGACAAAACACTTGATTTATACAGAAACGCTTTTGTGTTTTCAGAAGTACTGCACCCTTATTTATGAATGGATTTGGATATGCTGCTTAGGTTAGGACAGGGCGGGATGTTTGTTGTTGATCAGGACTTTATGTATTTCACATGCAGTCTGTCTCGTTCTGTTTAGGAAATCATTTCGAACAGAAAAACCCTTCTGAATGAGCCAGCGTTTAGGATATTTTTAGCAGCTGGACAGCAACCGTTGGATGGATGGCAGATGCCAGGGTTGGTTAGTAGTGTGTGTTTGGTATCAGCTCGCTGGGACGGGCTTGGGTGGGTCTGCGAACGTGCTTTTGGGGGCTCATGGACGGATTCCTGTGGGAGAAAAGAAAAACCAATTACTTTAGCAAGACTTATTGCATAACATGCACAAGAATATCAGGAAACCAAAATGTGGGAGTTCTAGAAAAAGCATGCAAATGAGAAATGCATGACTATTTATTCTAGAAAATGTGTTTTGCTTAATTAATTATATGTTCAATTAATGTTAGAAAGAGTAATTTTGCAAGACTCATTGCATACGGTTAACTGGAATGTCAGTCAATCAAAAATATTACAGTTCTAGAAAATACTTGTGTATATGAGAAATGCATGACTTTTTCTTTAAAATGTTATTAAATAGAAAGACTAATTACTTTAGCCAGACTTATTGTATAACATTTACAAGAATGTCGGCAAATCAAAAACTGTGGCAGATCTCCAAAATGTTATGTAATGAATTATATATTCAATTAATAATAGAAAGAGTAATTAATTTAGCCAGACTTATTGCATAACATGCACAAGAATATCAGGAAACCAAAAATGTGGGAGTTCTAGAAAAAGTATGCATATGAAAAATAAAATAAATAAAATATGCTGTTTAATTCATTCTGTGTTCAATTACAGTTAATTACTGTAGTAAGACCTTATTTTCTAAAGTTAAAAATAGCTGTAAATCAAAAATGCTGCAAGACAACATATGAGAAATGCATGACTGTTTATTCTAAAATATGCTGCTTAATTCATTATATGCTCAATTTATGTCAAAAATATTACAGTTCTAGAAAATACTTGTGAATATGAGAAATGCATGACTTTTTCTTTAAAATGTTATTAAATAGAAAGACTAATTACTTTAGCCAGACTTATTGTATAACATTCACAAGAATGTCGGCAAATCAAAAACTTTGGCAGATCTAGAAAATGCATGTATATGGGAAATGCATGACTGTTTATTCTATAATTGAATATGAACACTCAGTTCTATCCCAGCTAACAGGAACTTTGACGAACGTTCTGGCAAGGTTCTCTTAAAGTTATGAACAAACGGTCTTCCAGTAACGTTAATAGAATGTTCGTTTAAAGTGGTCTGGTCTTTAATAGAGTTCTCAAAACATTTGCACAAAAACGTTATTTATACATCATTCATGAATGCTTTTTCCTGAAACAGCTTAGTTGGACGTTTTTTAAATGTGACTACTTGTTTCATTCAGAGAACATTTGAAGGTAACATTCCCACAACATTTGCCAAACGATCAAATGGAATGTTCCCTTAATGTTCACATCAGCAAGATCAAATGTTTTTAAACCTTTTCAAAAACTGGACGTTCTGAACGTTCAGAAACAACCTTTTTATAACTTAATGCGAACATTAGCGAAACATTCTTGAGTTAGCTGGGAAAATATGTTGTTTGATGACTTGCGTATTCAATTAATGTTTGAATGAGTAATTACTTGAGCAAGAATGATTGTGTAACATTTACTCTACAACAATGTTAGGTGACTCAAAAATATTGCAATTCTACAAAATGCATGTATATGGGAAATGCATCCATGCATATTCTATCAAATTATATGTTGAGTTATTGAGTGGTTGCTAGGTGGTTGTTTAGTGGTCCTAGTCGAAAGCTTGTACGAGTTTTGTAATTTGATTATTGGAGTAGGTTTTTCTACTTGAAAATCTTAAAACAGTCATTTCTGAGTGAAAACTGCTAGCCAATCCTAGTACACCAATTTTGTTCGACTGTATGAGCTCCATACTCAAAGCCAGTGAATCTCAGGGAATGCTAATGAAGCATACAACTCAAATAATGGTCTTTTGACGTTATATTTGTTTGAAAGCTCTCCCCATTCCAAGAGTAACTCAATTAATTACCAGTTTTGAAGCCGTTCAGTCTGATGCACAATCTACAGTAAGAAGTCTAAGCCAAATGTAGCTGCCGGCCGTATTGTGTCAGTCCTTTCCACCCACTTCTTCCTGTCTTATTGCAGATCGTGGCTCTGAGAATGTGTCATGCCTGACTTCACGGCATGCTTTGCACATTACTGCGGAGTTTGCCTCATTAGAAGTATCTTAGTATTTCCTGTGTGCTACTGACAGAAAGCGTCACCTCTTTAGCACAACAATATTTTGTGTTGAAGTTAATTGGTGATAAAGTTTTTAAACACTACAAGTTCACAAGTTCACTACAAGAACATGGGAAATGTTGATCAGTAAAAGGTCATGCAAGATGAAAAATCAGTGACCGCAGGACCCCACCTTCACACCCAACCCTCTAATGTTCACACATAAAAGAATAACGACTAATAACAGCACTGCTCACTGCTGTGGATGTGCATTCTTGGCTGTTTTAAAAAGGAAACCCAAATGGCAGTGCATGAGAACATGCTAGCAAATGAGCAGAGGTTTGTATTATTTGCATCAAAAGAAAAAAATCATATCCCTTTCTTGCAGTAAAATAGCTAATAAATAAATATTCTTAAAATGAATATAAAATTATAATTTTTAAAATATTATTCTTATATAAAATAATGCACATTAACACAATATTAACTAAACAAATATTTATTATTCTAATATTTAGAGAGGTCCAAATGTAAAAATTCATTTTCTTCATTAAAAAATCCTGACAAGAGATCCAATAATAATGTACGCATTACTTTATTTGGGTATAAAGTCATTTAAATATCACTATAAATAATACATATGAATAAAAATATTAAATTGCTAATAAAATAAACGTATTAATCCAACATTAACCAAATTAATTATTAATAACTTAAAATCTTTCAATTAAATACATTTAAATATGCCTAAAACTATATTTAAAAAGTAATAATTTAATATATATTTAATAACTTAAAAATATATATACTGAAAATATATTTTAAAAACTTAAAAATATATATTTTCATACTTGCTTTATACAAATTTTTATAAATAACATTATAAAGCCACAGTTGCACGAGACATTCACGGTTCATTCCACTTGGATGAATGCTATATGAATTCTAACATGGTCTTTTTTATGCATTTCTGATTTGTCATGTCCAACAACTCATAAATTCAACGGTCAGCAAGGGTCACTTTCCAAACTAATTCCATTCTTGTCCATTGCGCCCAGGCCTTTTCAATCGGCCGAGTTCCTCGCAGTTAAAATCCCACCGTCACCAGCAGAGAAATGCAAATGACGCGTGGCGATGAATGTGACACATTGTCCGGCGGATTAATGGGGTTTGAACCTTTTTGTGTTTTGCAGGAAAGAGCTTCACGCTGACAATCACAGTATTCACGAACCCACCGCAAGTGGCTACTTACCACCGAGCCATAAAGGTCACAGTGGACGGACCGCGGGAGCCGCGAAGTGAGTACCACCCCAAATATCACACATCATGTGACTAGCGCATGCAATGGCAGATGAATGATGTGGCACGGCCCGATGCATGAATTGATGCATAGATTGTGTTACGGTGCTGTTTTAAAAATGGATTCAGCACGCCTCAATGCACAAAGACGGCCTTTGAGGAGCAGCAGGCATGTTCGGCGAGAGGCAAATACAAACACGTGCTGTCAAGGCCGCTCGACTTGTGAAAATGTTTACTGTATTGGCCTCTTGTGTCTGTCCGTCAACGTGCTCTTAAGAGCGAGCGCCCGTACAAACCCCTTCTCAATGGAATAATAGCGCACTGCACAGTGCATACTGCATACTGTCTGCTGTTTTTAAACCCGCTCAACTTCCTGCGTGATGAAGACACATGAATAATGTTAGCAGTAAGTAACATTTTCTGACTATAAATTTGTACATAATTGAATCGAAAAGAATGCAACATACAGTAGATACACTTTAAAAAACTGATGTAGAAGCCATTTTCACTCAGGAATTGCTAGTACATTTTTTAAAAATTACAAAGAAACAGCAAGTAACACTGAATTAAACAAAATTTTGAAGAAGAAAAACTGAATCTTTGTTTATAATCTATTTACTATTTCAAAAAAAATGCTGAATGAAACATGTGAAATACAGTTTTTAAAATGTTTATTATGGCAGGATGCATACTATCGTGTTACGGTTTATTTCAATATAAACATTTAAAACTGTATTTTACGTCACATGACCTGATTATGTTAATCTTTATTCAGAATGTGGTGCTTGTTAAGTAAAACAAAAATTATTGGAGTATGTTTTACAAGAAAATACTATTTACATTTTTCTACTTCAAAATGTCATGTTTAATTCAATGCATTACTTGCAGTTTCTTTGTAATTATTTGTGAAATGAAAATCACTTACAATTTCTGAGTAAAAATTGTTTCTACACCAGTTTTTTTTGTTGTTGTTTTTTGTATTTTGTATGAAATCCTATTTCCACCATCGGATCAAATAAAATAATAATAATAAAAAAAATAGCAAAAAAGGTAATTGCAACTTTGCAATTTGCAACTCTGGGAAAACTGTGAGATATAAATGCAGAATTATGAAAAAAAAAAATTTAAAACTCAGAATTCAGAGAAAAAGTCAGAATTGCAAGATATAAACTCAGAATTTTGAGATATAAATGCTAAATTGCAAAATGTAAACTCAGAAGTGCGAGAAACAAAGTCCAAATTGTGAGATATAAGCTCAGAATTGCGATAGAAAATAAAATAAAATTGAGAAATAAGTTTTAAAATATGAAATAAAATCACATTGTGAGATATAGTCACAGTTATGATAAATAAATAAGAATTTTTTTTTTTTATTCTGATCTGGAAATTGCTTTCATAGTATATAGTATATGCTGCATAGAATTCAGTATACAGTAAGCAAATATTCAATTTCCAAGATAGCCAATGTAAAATCGAGCATGTTGCATTTTGGCACGCTCAACAACTGGAAATTTCATTCCATGCATACAGAAATTTCACATATAGTGCACATTAAGAAAAGTACGCAAGCATGCTATTCTGAACACAGCCATGCTCTTAGTGCTGTATATGATGCATTGAAGGAATAATCCATCCTATGGTTGGGTTACAAAGAAGGTCAGGATGTATTTCCAGACCACATCCATTTTGTACATCAATATTGGGTCATTATGCGATCAGCTAGATTTATAAGAAACCATTGAGACATTTCTCAGACAAAAAAAGAAACGCTTTAAAGTTTCCCCGATACATTGAACAGAGACGTGTCACGGAAAAGAGAAACAGCCCAGTGTTTTCTCGCTCAGAGGAACCTGATCTGGCAAAAAGCTCCAGTTATCCTTCAATTATGAAAAAGCCGCTTCATCTGAGTTAATGTCTGGACTTGTGAGTTGTGTGCGCCGTTTGCTACAACTGCTCAGTTGCTCCCACTACCTGAAAAAAACTGTTAGAAGACGCTGCCAAATTTCAGTTTTCACACTGAGCCCCAGGACCAGTAAATACACACAAGCTGTCATGAATTACTTTCATGTGGTAGAGAATAGAACCAGGAACACGCCGTGCTTGACTCTCTTTAGTGCGTGTTTACATTAAAGTCTTTTGCAGTCTGACATTACGGCCAAAGTTCTTCACAAGACGACCTTTTGTGGCGGGATAATCTAATGAAAGTACATCGCATTCTGTCAGCCGTTAACAGTGACTGGCAGATGTTTCTTACGCTTATGTTTTATGCAAACCGTTTTGTTTTCGGTGGTGAAATTACTCAAAGCTTTCGTGATATGACAGTAGGCTTTAAATGTGCTGTTAGCATATGTTTCTAAATGATTGCAATCCCATTAACTTTCAAAGAGGGACCATAATATCATAAAACTGACTTGGGCCGGTAAGCAACCACAATAGCAACGTGTTAATAGTGCCCGCCCACTTTTTCTGTGGTTCCCCCAAAGGGATTTTTTTGTTTGTTTTAGTTTTTGTTAAAGCATTGTAAGCCATGAACGAAACCAACCAGCTATGAGGTGAATCACAGCAGTACAAACTTTGATTTGACTCAAAATAGTATTTGAAAATCTGACAAGAACACAACGGTACAAGACTCTGAACTTTACAGCTTTAATGAGGATAAAAAACTACAATCCCATGAAGCATTTCAACTGACTTAATCTAATTAAAAATGATGGTGAAATTTAAAAGCTAAGCTCACCGTGAGACTCTGATTGGTGGAATTTAAAAGCAGAGCTCAACACGACCCTCTGATTGGTGGAATTTAAAAGCAGAGCTCAACGCTACTCTTTGATTGGTGGAATTTAGAAGGCAGAGCTCGCTGCTGTTCTGTGATTGGTGGAATTTTCTTCACAGAATCATGGGGAATATAGTTTTTACCCAAATTCCACTGTTAAACATGATTCTTTAAAAAATAAGTTGAAATAATGGCTTCAAAAGAAGCAAATACCAACGATTAACAACCTTGGATATTACAGTATATCTGTCTTTACATTTACATTTAGTCATTTAGCAGACGCTTTTATACAAAGTGACTTACAAATGAGGACAATGGAAGCAATCAAAATCAACAAAAGAGCAATGATATGCAAGTGCTATAACAAGTCTCAGTTAGCTTAACGCAGTACACGTAGCAAGGTTTTTTTTAAATAATATAATAAATAAAAAGAAAGAAAACAGATTGAATAGAAAAAGAATAGAGCAAGCTAGTGTTAGAGGTCTTTTTTGCTTTTGTTAATTGTATAATAAATGAAAAAAAATCAGATAGAATACAAAAAGATTAGAAAGCAAGTGTTGTATTTCTTTGTGGAACTGAATGATCGTAGGCATGATTGATCTGAGCTTATGCACCTTGTGACAATATCCACTCAAAACCTGAAGTGCATATACAGTAAGCTACAGAATGCAAAACCTGTGCTATTTGAAAGAAAACAGGTTGATGAAAATATTGAATCAAATTAATATAGCATAATGCAATTATAAGCAATTTTTTTGTAGGCTGGTCATTTTTGACCGGGAACACCATGAGTTTAAAAACCATGAGTTTGGAAAAATACCCCCAAAAAGCACCAAAATTATAAATTTTTCGGGGGGAATCCAACATGAGAGTTAAGGCTTTATCACTAAAAATCAATTTCAATATGGAGAAAATAAATTGAATTTTTACGACTGTTACACTGTATCCCTCAGGACACCTTAGCAACCCCATAGCAACGCCCTGGTTAACACACACAATACTGCAACATCAACATTCCGTGTGATTAATTACCTCATGGCGTCATACGCAGAGACACAGAGTCTGATGAGCGCTGCTGTAGATCCGGCTCTGGCGTGTTCAGAAGAAGCACATGCCAACCTGCCTGGCACACAGCTGTTGCCACTGGCCTCGTCCTCAGAGATAACTTTCTGGCGGCAAAACCAACAATATCGCTTCTTAACGTCTTGTTTTCTTCCTTCTTTTCCTCCTCATCTCAATTAACACATCTGTCAGCGGTGTTTTGGAGGCACTTTATGCCAGTGTGTGATCTTCATTCGTTACGGATTAATCGCACCCTCAGGCATCTCTGATGTGACGGCCTTTCAGCTCCCTCGCCTCATTCATCTTCAGCTTTTCTTTCTGACTTTGTGTGCAAGTGTTTATCAAGGAAAATGCCAGTCGTGACTTCCAAACACAGCTTCTGTTGGTGTAAACAAATGTTTTAGCATGCCGACTAGAATTATAGTTGGCGTAATTACTTTTTATTTTGATAATTAATATCAATTAAGAAGTATAGATAATAATTGGGGTTATTATCGTTAACTAAAACCATTTTCATTATGTGAACTAAACGATAACTGATATAAAATATAATATAAAAAAAGTTAGTTGCCAAGGCAACATTTCTTATTTTTAAGTTGATAAAATAACTATAACTAAAAATTAATACTAAAAAACAAACAAACAAAAACTAAAATTAAAATGATAACCAAATATAACTAAACCAAATACCAAAATGCCAAAATCAATAAAGAAATAAAATCCCGTAAAAATATGACACAATGTACTGTATTAATTTGAAGGAATTTTTCATATTGATTTGATTTTAAACAGGTGTTTTACCTGTATTTTTAATTTTGCATTGTGTTTTAGAGTTAACGGAAATCTCCGGGCAGAAAATTACCAGTACTTTTTTTTTTAATAGTGTACAATGATACTTAAATAACACTGGTATAAACATATAAATGGAAATATCTGTCCATCAACAAAGAAAAATTGACTCAAAAATATCTTTACTCACCTTCATGTTGTTCCAAACATGTATGACTTTCTTTCTGCTGTGGAACACAAAAGAAGATATTGTTTTTTTTCATATAATGGACGTCAATGGGGTCCAAAACCAAAAAAGGTCAACCTGTATGAGAGAAATAAGAGAGACTGGTGACGTCATCTGAAAAGGAAAGTCATTTCAAAGACAGAGCAAGA